AAAAATTGACAAAACTTTAAAAATTTTACTTGAAAAACTCAAAAGTGTCCATTTACATGATAAAAGATTTGAACCATCACCAATCAACCCATAACTAATCTACAAATATAGTTACATAAGTGCACTGACAGTGATTATTTGTCTTGATACAAAAATTTATAAAATTTTTTAAAAGTATAAAACCTTAATTTTATCTAATTTTACAATTTTACTGTTTTAAATTTATAAAATCTCAATTTTAACTTTGATTTTATACTAATTATATAGATAAAATCATAAAACCTTATGATTTTACAAGTAAAATCGTGATTTTGACAAACATGTTGGCAATAATTCACCATGTCTTTCTTATATAGCGATCAGTTGGGCAATTGACCCCAGTGCATTATTATTGATCTTGGAAAAAATTCAGAGTCTCTTTCCTATATAGCAATCAGTGGGCCCGCATTGGCCCCACTAGATTATTGGCCTCGGCAATAATTCACCATCTCTTCCCCATAGAGCAATCAGTGGGCCCGCAATTGGCCTCACTGGACTGTTAGACTCGGTGATAATTCACTTCACCACCTCCCATCCACATGATTAATCTGTACCATATTCCTATTGCTTTATTTTTTTTTAAATTTTTTTTAAAACCTTATTTTGATTCTTTCACTTACTAGAAAATTTTTTTATTTTTTTATTTAAAACTTTTTTAACCTCGAAAGTTTATTATCGGATTTATTTTAATTTATTTTATTATTTTTTTACATATGTAATATATTAGATAATTAAAATTATAAAGTACGTGGATTAAAAATAGACTAATAAAAGTCATTTTTTGCTCATTTACTTTTAAAAACCTCATTTTTAGTCCTTTAACTTTAGAATTTTTGTCATCATGTATTATATTATATGTGTCTAAAAATAACAAAGGGATTAAAAAGAAATCAAATAGTAAATTTTTGAGACTAAAAGAAAATTTTTAAGTAAAAAGACTAAAAAAAAGTATTTTGTTAAAGGAGAGGAACCAAAATAGAGTTTTAACCCTTTCTTTTTTTCATTTCTTCCATAAAAAAAAAAAAAAATTGCCTTCTGCTTCTAAGAAGAACCAAAATGCTACGATTAGGGTGCATCTCGTATTGCAGTTAGAGGGGTTTTGTGTTTTATTAATGGTTATATGATGCTTTTAAAATACGTGTGTTTGATAATTTTTTTAAGTATTTTTTAAATTATAAAAAATTATAATTTATTTATAATAATTATATATATAATTTTAAAAATCTCATTTTGAATTTTTTTTGTATTTTTATAGA